TTAACAGTCATCCCTGCTTGAGCAGGGAGGTTGGACCAGATGACCCACTGTGGTCCCTTCCAACCTTACCCATGCTGTGATTCTGTGATCTTAACTGGGCAAGAAAGTAATCTTTCTGCTTGTAGTCCCTGAACCTCTAAGTCAGACGTACCATCTATCTCCATCTGTGTATTCCCTTTGTAAAGCAAAGCGGCACTTCAATTTAATAAACTGGAATGGAGTCAGGTGTCTTTCTTACTGTTCACGGCAGCATGACAGCAGAATGTTCCAGAGTTTCACTGTTAGGTGACCTGGACCATGTGTTTTGGTTATTCAGGCCACTTGGGGAACATTGCTAACAATTTTATTTTGAGAGATCAGCAGAAAAAATAATGAGAAATCATGTGTTCTGAACAAGATGGTCTCCACTATCAAGAAATCTGTACAGTTACCCAGAGTGTTTGTACACTTCTACCAATTAACACAGGAGTGCTAATGTTACTATAAGCTGGTTGACTTCTTGTAGGAACACAGCCAATATCTAATGACCCTTCTACTTCGCTGCCAAGGCTGAGCACCTTGGAGTGCCACAGTTACTGCTACACACAGGAGCGTAACAATCACAGGTATCATGAGAGCAATAACATTTCTATTTATGTAAACTGTTTTCAAGCTTGAAAGAAAGTGAGTAGGGTCAATAACATTACATGGAGGACAGATGGCCTATAGTTTGTAATAAATTCTAATAATAATAGAATTTGTAATAATAATCATCTGATAATGCATAATCTGGGTAATCCAATAATGCAGTAATCTCATACTAGAGGTTAATAATCTCTAACAATCAATGAACTTCTGTAGAAAACTCATCTAATTATGGACTTCCTGGAACATAAGCACTCAGTATTTCAGTGCATTTAGACTTTATGCCTATATAACTCCTAAGAGTCAGCATCTCTTAAGTAATCCTGATTTACTTGTCTCTTGATTTCCAATTACCACTCTTTCTCAGAGATGGTGATAGTCACACTGGTGTACTTTAGAGCCTTGTATTTCAGATAAATGGCACAACTGTGATGCTGTGTTCCACAGGTCTTTAAGAAGGACAAAGAGAGAGGATAAAGATGGGGGTGGATTTGCAGTCCATGAGAAGAGGTTCAAATGCATGGCACCCTGCACATATTCTTGTAAATGATGCAAGTGCATTGGCAAGAGTGTAGCCAGCAGATCATTCAAAGTGATAATTACCCCACTATGTGGCATAATGACACCCCATCTGCAGTACTGTGTCCACTTGTGGAATCATTAATGGTAGAAATCTTAAAAAACTAAAGAGAATCCAGAAGAGAAGGACTAAAAGGCTTCAGGGGCTGGAGGAAGCAAAGGCTGAGAGTACCGGGTTTGTCGAGAGGAAGTTTAGGGGTAGATCTCATAGCTGTCTTCTGCTACATAACAAGAGAGTTAAAGAGAAGATGAAGCCAAAGGTGCACTGCAAAACGTCAAAAGACAGGTGCCCAGTTGCAGCAAGAGAAATTCCATTTGGATATGTGAGAGGAGAAAAAAAGAAAGTAACAGGCTGCTCAGATAAATTATGACATCTCCTTTCTTCAAGATTTTCATGTACCAGTTAGAGAAACTGAGTAAGCTCTTCATACTTTGAATCTGGCGCAGATTTGGCCAGGAGGTAGGACTACGTAACCTTTAGAGGTGCCTTCCAACCTGAGTGATTGTGGAATTCCAGAGTATCCAGTATTTTCTGTATATTGTATGTTTGGATGGCATAACTATGCAAAAGGAAAAATTTATATTTTACTCTTGCTTATTGTTGAGTGCTTATACTTTTAGGGTGTTTATAATTTATCTAGAGTGACATGGAAGCATTTGTTTTTATTCAATAAGAAAATTTTTTTTTCTCAATGTGAGCAAATTCAAAGCAAGAATATGTTATTTTTACTGTGAAAGAACTTTGGTACTGGCCTTACCACTGACTGATGTTAAATCACTTGACCCTTAGCTCTGTCTCTTCTTCTCTTTACATCTGAATAACAATATTTCCCTTATGTCACAGAGTTATTACAAGAATTAACTTATCAATTTCTTAATTACACCCATGGAGCAGCAATATTTTGATGGTATCTATATCTCTTTCTCACTGAACTGGTTGCCAGTGCAGTAAGAGTGGCTATGAGTAGGGGAAAGTCCTGCACCTTTCAGGTCTCCAGAGTTCAAAGGGTGTTAGATGAATTGGGGTCTTCTAAATCCATTCAAGTTTCAGGATCCTGGGGTGTTTGATAAATGTACTATTTCTTCAGATGACCAAGTTTCCTGTGCTGACATACTCAATGGTGATTTGCCTTAAAAATCCATTAAGGAGGACACATGTGGTATCCTTCTAGTATGTTTTGCTCATCTTACACTACTAGTGCCTGTATAATGGCTAATACAAGTTGTTCAACTGCCATTTGTGTCATGGGTAGTTATTTGGGAATTTTTGGTAATTCCGTTTCTTAGGCTGAGGCTCCATTACTGCTTCTAAACAAAAATGAGTTTTTGCACAATAGATCTGTACTGTCATTTGAATGTTTTTTTCTATTTTTTCAGGAGATACAGCTTTTTCTTACTGTTTTCATAGGAGGCAAGAGGCCACATGGGTGGGCAAAATAATACAAATGAAACCAAATCACTCCAAGTTGCAACATGGCAATTCAACAAGACAGAGACAAAACCACAATATTACCATATGGAAACCCCACAATGTTGAAAGTGTTTGTTACTTTAATTCTGAGAAAGAAAAGACAATGATTTGTAGAATACCTTTATGAAGTTATTATATAATAAGCAGCAAAGTAAGTCACTGTAATGATTTTATATATATAGTATCTCTCTATATATCATTTATATATATGATTATATATATGATTTATATATTATTTTTATATATATGATTTTTTATATATATGATTTTATACAGAAAGAACCCTTCCTGAAAACATTAGGGTTAGGGTTAGCACTGGAAAAACATTGTTTGGGGAAATTTTAGCAAATACCATCAAGTTACTTAATTATACAGTTGCTCAATAAATTATTCTTATATTGGAATACAGAAAATCAGAGGAATGGATTTAACTTATACCATACATACCAGTGTATCTCTTCAATTAGTAAGATTACCACAACAATCTATAAGAGACTGCAAAAACCTACTAGCATAGGCAGATTCTCTGGCATTCCTCAAAGGTGAAGCTCTTTCACCCACAAATTTAACTGACCTTCTTTTCCCTCTGCCTTTCACAAACTACCGATACAAATGCCATGTCTATTAGCAACATAATGCACTGAATAACAATTTGATCCTTTGTCTGAAACATTAAAACAAAGAATAAGTGGGTATTAAAATTATGACTGACTTTAGGGGTCAGTAATACTTGCCATTCATGTGAGACTTGTTCTCAAAGAGCGTAAATAAACTCCATAGGCAAATGTCACATACAACCTCACCCTCCAGTGGTCATGGCTAATAACCTGCCCATCACACCAGAGGACAAAAGTTGGCTGTACAATAGAGCAGCCAGTCACCAGAGATTTCCCAGGAAGCTTCACACAGCGGTGCTAGGCAGACTTGTGAGAAAAAGAACTGATGTTACATTCCAGTAAATATTAACAAGCTATTGGACCTAACATGGCCAATCCCGAATCCATTTGACAAAGGCATCTCTTGTTGACTTCAGCAGGAGCTCAGCAGGGATCAGTCTGTCGCCCAAACAGGAGGGCTAGTCAGCTATTTAAAAGTGATCACACTTAACCACTTTACTGTGGTCTTCCTCTTTAGCCTTCATCACTTTGGAATTTACAAGATCATTTCACTGTTACTCAGTAATTATAGTGCCAATCCATTTATCCGTGAAACATTTGTAGACAGGGATGCCCTTTTGGATACAAGGATTGCAGTGTCAATCGCAGTAGATGGTTGCAAACAAGTCATAAGGAAGCAGGGAAAGGAAATCAAGCAATGGCAGAAATCTGTGTTTGTTTCTTTATTCACTTACACTGAACTATTTCTGTTAAAAAGTCTGGAAAAAATATTTTCATTCTGCAGTCATGTTTTTCTGCAGCTGTAATGGTCTAAGGCCGTATGACTAATAACATCTGTAAGGAGGAGTAATACTCCCTGTCACATGGCATAGAGTCTAATTTTCTAGCTATACTGATTGATCCAATAAAAGATGCTACCTGTATCTACAAACCTTGTCACAGGAAACTAACTGATGATGATTAGAAGCTTTTTCTCTAATAACCTCCAAACCAAAATCTCACATGTGATCTCTCATCAGGAAAGCTAAAAAGTAGATTTTACTCCCTTTCTTCTCATTTGCTGTCCTGGGCTATCACATATCACTGATTGCTTTAGTTTTATCCATGTCTCACTGTGGATGCCCCCATTACAGTCAGTAGCAAGAAAGGTGGTGCTATGGTTCCTAACACTTTTTGAAGTCATTCTCACTATTCTTTCTCTTTTTCCATCTGACCCTCTCCCTACAGCTACCTTTTCTCTGCAACTCTCCCTCCAAAAACAGATGCCTCACGCCACATCCTCATCTGCTCTCCCTGAAAATTCTCTTCACCACCTCCTTTCACACATAATATACCCAGCTCCCACTGGAAAAGCTTGGCAGCTCTACCTTTCCTCTCTGCAACCCTTCTTCTCTAACACTGGGCACCTTAGTCCCAAGAAAACCAAATGTTCAGCTGGGAATAAAAATACATCCCAGTTGTACCAGCCATTTACTACAGTTCTGCCTCATACTTGCTCCAGGCAGCAAAGGAAATAAGTAACATGCATCTGCCCCAATCAGAGGTATAAACACTAGTATGCTCTGGAAATCAACAACAAAAAAAGTGCTCAAACCTACAATACATAAAATACACTTTGAGAAAGTACAAATAGGTGCTAAAAAGTTAAAGACTGACAGTGCCCGGAGCCTTCATATTGCTAGGGCAATTGACTGCTACAGCAGAGGTGATAAAGTGCTCTTCTCTAGCCTGCAAGGAAACTGAAGGTCTCAAAATCAAACAGAATCAGAAAATATGATATGTGAAAAGAATAATTTTATTAATCTCCCCATAAGAAAATTATTGGACAGGGCACTGTAAGCAGAAGCACACAGTCCTGAGGACTAGGAGGAAAATAATTTGTCCATATTACAAAACCAAACAAATATCCAAGCCTGTCCATGCCTCAGCCACACTATGACAGGCTGGTTTAGTTTTCTACCTCCAGCCACCAGCAGCTGGCAATGCAAAGTTCCTCCCTTCATGGCCACTGTCATTTTTCCATTGTTGTTCCCCGAGGGCCAGATAACTGTCTATTTTTGGGGGAGCAGACGTCCAAGAATCTAAGGTCTTTGAAAAGGACAGCTGGCCATGTGCTGTACTCTTCTTATACAGCTTACATATTGAGCACTTGTTCAAGCGACAAAACATTTAACTCCCTCAAGTGTGCAGCTGATGAAGAATCTCTGAATCTAAATAAAAAACGGAAGTACAATCATTAAATCAAAGAGTAACTAATATATTCTACCCCTGTATCATGACAATATAGGTGGAGGTTTTTCTCAGCTAATTTAACATCCTATTAAGGGTGTTCCAAGGGAGGATTAACATGAGAGTGAGAATGGGAAAAGATCAGATTTAACACTCCAAATTTTAAATACAAGGATTCATGATAGTCTTGAGTTTTAAATGATTGGTTGATCACATAAGACACCACTCAAAGCTATAACCAAAAGCTTTTGGAAATATTCAGTACATGACCCATAACAATAATGGTAAGACTAGTGAAAGTTATTAGAGTTGTCAGCTTAGCACATAAAAGTCAAGAAAATGTCAAAAATACATCTCTTCTGTGTATAAAACTATCAGCAAATTGAATTTAGCAATTTGTTAGGGAGGCATCAGGAATCAGATGCTTTGCTTTAGCTACCTCTAAAAGTGTCATTCATGTAGATGTTAGCAGAAACATGGAAATTATTAAAAAGAGAACAAGCTGCAGAACAGTTGAAACTGTCACCTTCCTATATCTCACTTTCAGACCACTTTGGAAGGCTGGCTTTCATCCTGCCTTTCCTCATTGCTTTATACAAGGCTATGTTCAAACTGGGGAAATTAGAAACCATCTCTAAGTCAAACAGTGTCTGAAATCTGTCCACAAATTGGTTCTCTTCCTTCAACCTAAATTTCATAGCCCACAGAATAACTGTATCATTCTTGCACAAGTGATCAAAAGTTAGGAGGAGTTCATTCAGGAAGGGATGGTGGTAAACTACATCAGCAGCCATAATGTAGTCAAAGTGACAGGAAGACCTAGGAAAGTTCTTTTCCAGATCAATTCCCCAAGACAATTCCTTAACACAAGGCTGGTGCTTGCTTTTCAGCTTTGTATTGTGAAGAACATTGTGCTGAAGGTTTCCCAGTAATTCTGGCAAATCTGTGGCAGTCACAAGGGCACCTGTAACATGGAGAGAACAAATGGAATATTTTAATATACTTCAAGACTTGACTAAAAGTCCATTCACAAAAGCCACTGCACAAGGAACCAGTTTCATCAGATAGCTCTCACTGAGGGTAACAGAACAATACAAATGCTCCCAATAACTCTTAGACACTGTGCTTGAAATAAATACTTGGTTCATCATAGTTCTATTCTACAGATTGCCATCTAAATGCAGCTGGTGGGGAGAAATTAGATACTTACTGTATCTTGATATCATATTGGTTAAAAGTACAGTGACCAGGTAAGGATCAAGGAATGCCAGTTACTGACTCCAAGAAGTCAGCATGAGATTTAAGCATTGTTTCAGGTTCTTTCCTTTTCACATAGAAAGAAGATTTCTCAGACTACAGAAAGCTAAAGTTCCATTAAAATGCAGATGCCACTGACCTGGAATACTCTTGAGAAAGAACACGCTACCATGAGAGAAAACACAACAGTGTCTTTAGCAGGAAAATCAAGTTGCTGAAGGAAAATAATGAAACACAAATGGATAGAAAGTGACCTGGCATCCAAGAGCTGTTTGGTCAAGGGAAGGGGATGCATTGCTCATACCTACATCTGGCCCCAACTGACATCCTGTGAAGCCACTAATTTCTTATTTTGGTCCTCTGTTTAACACAGTTAATGACAATACATTTACTGCTTTATTGCATCAATATACTCTCAGAAAGAGAAGTAACAAAGGATGTTTCCAAACATGCCTTTTAGAATTTACTGTTCCTTGGTCTGGGAAGCTCTCAAACAACAGTCATTTAGAAGAACTAAGCAACTTCCTTTGTCCTGCACTATTCATCTGAGAGATACTTCTAGGAGCATAAGAGCAATGGCATATACTCACCCAGTAAGCTGGCTACTATGGAGACCAACCCAGTTCCAGCTCCAATTTCAATCACATTTTTGTCAACCAAATTATATTTTTTAGAATTAGTTTCCAAAAAATAACACAGAACAAGAGCCTGTAGTGGAGGAAATCCATGAACATACTGAATAAATTAATGAAATAAACCCCTTCACTAAATATGCATTGTCATTCAAAAGCATGCAAAAAACCTGTTGTCTGCTCAAATGAGCAATATTCATGTAAGCACTATCCCTAAAGGATCACAATTCACTATGATCTTTGAGCCGTATAGGTCACAAAATAAATGCCACAACATGCAACCATACAGGCTTGTAAATTATTACAACCAGAGGAAACAATTGCAATTAGATAATCTTACATGAGCTGTAAAATTACAGTCAGCAAATCCTGCTTATAACTGGAATTTCTGATTGATTTAAAGGTGCCCTTCACAAAGGCATCTTGATATTAGGACTGCTTGTGAGAGAAAATCCACAACAACCCTTGTTAAGTTCTTCCAAGAGTAAATTATATCTAAAAACAATTAATTATCATAATGATTCAAAAGGAATGAATAGATTTAGCCCCTTTTCTTCCAGTTCAGTTTGTTTTCAGTTTCTATGTCCTTACCTTGTTAAGCTTAGCAAGCTTTCATAGCAAATATAGCCACAAAGAGCCCTCTACAACAGACTCCTTGCACATGTATTTATAAATTGAGAAGCCCCTTCAGCTTATCTGCCTTGTCTCACACTAATCAATGAATTTTAGTTCACTGTTGAAATAGAAATTGTTAATTTTACATCTCTGGCAAATATAGTTTTGAGCTTGCCTCCCATATTTTTGCCCAGACTATGATAATTATATAGTCTCCACTGACAAATATATATGATGGTTCCCACATCCCCTTGCAATACAGATGACCATTTGGAAAGGCAATCATTAGTGGCTTGGTCTGGCACAATAAAATTACACTCTTAGTTTTGCTTTTAACTAATTAAGAAGGAACAGGACTGTTGACCCAGTGTTAACATTCTGGAAATTCAAACAAAGTTTTTGTTTTCTACCTCTTAATTCAGACCATAAAAGAGTAGGTAATGTGAATTTTGGTAAAGGAATAAGTCTGTGAGAACCAGGACTAATTAAAATCAGGTTCCTATAGATTGGATCTGATATTTGAATGATATTTGGCACATTGTATTAGGATTTCCTGTTATTCCCTAAACTCCTATAATTCCTTCCCTCAGAGTTTTGCCCTGTTCTGCTGTAGAAACCAGCTAGCAGAATCAAAATATCTGAGAGTTCTGCCTTTCCATGAAACATACAGAAACTTTGTTTTTGTTAAAGTTTCTCCCCTCTAGACAGATATGGCTGACATTTTTCAGAAGAGTTCAAGTAAAGCTAGATCAAGAGGAAAGGAGAACATTAAGAAACACAGATGGAAAGGTTGTCTTCCTTACACACAGCGAAACTCGCTAAGCCCTTCCAAAAAAGGAAGCCCATCACTCACTCTATGAGAATAATCGGCACTCAGCCAAACTTTCCATGAGGATGTGCACTGAGATCACTAAAACATACCATATAGATTATTTGTCCAGGTCTCCTAAAACAAGGAATATCACAGCTGAATGAACCTAGGAGGCTCATACAGTTGGGACAGAAATGGAGCCTCCTGGGTCTCTCCTACAGGGACTGTTCCCTGAAAGCCACAAGTGCCAATGGTTCATTGTAGCACCTTCTGGTGGTTTCTTTCAGTCTTAATTATTTTCAAACAGTCAGTTAGCTACACTGTACCGATTCAAGACCTTGAAGAAGGCTCCTTGTATGGCGGATGTGCTCATGGTTGCCAAGGACAACGGTTCTCTCTCACTAGATTTCTGGCTGCTTAAGAAACTGAAAGCTCCTTTTCCCATGTCTATGTATTTATAAGGTAAATTTGTTTCTTACATGAGTAGGCTGAGTAGCTTCTATGAGTGCTAATATCTTGTGAGCTTGTAGCATAGTTGTTTCTACAACCTGGATCTGCCTGATACACAGCCATCTGTATTTATAAAATGTACAGAAATGCAATAAGCATAAAACTGCCGTATTTCCTTCAAAATATGCTTAGAATTGCCTAATAGGATCAAAAGTTACTGGTAAATGAGGAGAGGACACAAGATCATACACCTTATATGACTGGGGCACAAAGAAGAAATACCATCTCAGCTTTCAGAATCACAAATTTAAACAAAAAAAGGTTAAATTCAGGTTTGGGATTTCCAGAACAGAGACAGAGAAGCACAGAATTATTTCTTTGGATTTACAACATATAATAAAACATACTTATTATATAAAATAAATTAAAAAGCTCTAGAAGACTCCAAAAATAAAAAATAACAATACTGCAAAAATATTGTACCGATGGCCAGACGACTGCCCCGTAACAATCAGTGGCTTCTGTAATTCTTATCTCATGGCCAGCAAAGTGAAAGCCTTCCCAGGTCTTATGACTTATAAGAGTAGGAAAAAAACGTCTCTTCATGATTTCTGCAACTATCTGTTCATCCTCTTTTTCCCCTGGAAGAAAAAGTATAAGAAGTCAAACAGGTTGAGTGGACTGATAATGAAACCACCAATTCATATTGAAAAGTTGATCTGGAAGCAAGAACATGAATTACATCTGTAAATAAAAATACATTTCACCACTAATGGTTTGCATGATACATGGCAATTCTCCTGAATTCTATTTGAAGTTTTACATTTTATGACTAAGTAATTTCTTTTCTATTTTGCTGAAACAGCTAAGTTCATAAAAATTAAAGAAGGGGAATATCACCATACATTGTTTTTCCTTTCAGCAGTCTAAAGGAAATTTTTAAACTTCTTTTTCCCTTCAAGAACAGCTGCCCTAGTATAGGTACCACACTCTTACGTGCCCAAATTTTTCATTATCTTCCATATCCTTTTGCTGTTCACTTTCCCCACATTATGGTTCTTTTTGACAGTAAACAAAAGGAGCCAGAGTATCATATATGTCTGTCACAAAACTTGTGAAACAGATCCTAGCAACGCAAATTATGACAGACAGGAGTGCAAGCACCAGTGTTATCAGGAAAGCTTATCCACCCACCCCAACAGAGCCCTGTCAGAGGTATTTTTTCCAGTTGGCTTGACATCCTGAATGCCCTCCCTGTTGCTAAGAAAAGGATATTTATGATAGCTAACATAATCCTGGATAACTCTTCTAACAGGAGACAATTCATTCTTTTTTAGCTGCATACCAAGCTAATTTCAGTTTTGCCATCATCACAGAAAGCGGCACCACAATGTTAGGAAAAGAAATATGTAAGTGATCTAGACTATTTTCTCAGCAAAGTTTAGATTCATTCCAAGTTTTCACAGGAATTTTGCTGTCAGTGCCAACTATGATCTGTTGGCAAATCAGCTAAAGCAAAACATGTTTACAAGCTACACCTTCTGAAAGCATGCTAGAGATTTAGATAACTGGGTTACCACCTTGTCCAAAGCAGAGTTTCCTGTATCGAGCCTGCAGTCCCCCTCAAAGTAACAGATATCAATATCAGGATCTGCACAGAAATTGCAGGCCCAATTGCTGTTAAAAATGAAAACATTTATGCTTTCATCAGCATAAAATACATTGGGCTACCAAAGATTCTTCACATTTTCTTCTCCCTCAAATCATTGAAGTCACAGGACATGACAGCCACAAGTGTTGTCACTTGTTTTGCCATATGCCTCAGTAATTTTCTTGCTAACATATTGACAAAGTCTCTCTCTCTTCCCTGTGATACAAGTCCCAAGGAACAAAAGCAGGAGTGAACCAAGAAAAAGATGGTACCAAACAAAAATATATCAGGAAGATGCTCAGGCTCATTAGCCAGTGCTTTAAGCTTGTAACGCAAGTTTAAGCATCAGAGAAACTAGAAAATAGCAACAAATAAGGAATAAGAAGCAAAAGTGTTCAGTCTTAGTATGTTGACCCTAAGACACAAAAACTCAACAAAAACAACTAACCAACCACAGTACTCCAAGAATTTATTGTGGGGGTAGAACCCTAATTGTGGGATACAGCAAACTTAAAAATAATGCAACACATATACTACTGGGAAAAAACACAGTTTTTTAAAAATTTTATAAAGATAACTAAAATAAAATGCTCAACACTGAAACTCTGGTATTTTAAGATGTTAGGAAACAAGTAGTATGTGTCAGCCCATTACATCTTCTTCAAGCCTCTAACGTTAAGCTGAGAGAAAACACATGAGTCATTGTGCCTGTAATCAGGGAGCTCTTGACAAACACAAATTAATTGTCAGAGAAATGCTGCTTCAGGGCAAAATTAATTTTTATATATATATATAAAAGAAATATCATAAAGCTATCTTATTACTCATATCATAAGTGCATTTAATATATCATCCAGTTTCCAAGAATACCAGATACAGCCTGCTTTTAATCTTCTCCTATTGCTTAGAGCAGTCTGATCTTGTTCTGTGATCATTACTAGCTGTGGAAGTAAAAGCTATTCCTTCTATTACTTCTCAATTACAGCCATTTTTCTTGATTCTTCCTCCCCTGACATCAGTTTTGGATCCAATTTTGTTGAGAAGCTGGTAACTTATTAAGCCTTAACTTACAAAGCTTCTGCCAGAAGATCTATAAAACTTTAGCAGTGTTGCAGCTACCCCTCTAGAGCTTAATAAACATTTCCCACCTATTCCCTACGTGATCAGCAAACCTTCTACTTCAGGCTTGTGTAGCACCTATACCAACAGAATTTTTAGGCCACTGCTCCCTTCCTGAACTAAACTGTCAGCACTCCTAAAAGAAAATTCCCCAATCTTCTGATTAATAACACCACTGAAATTTTTGCCCATCTTATCCTTCTGGTAATCCTACAGGTGAGTTACCTGGAGAAGCTTACACGATTTTTTTTTTAATTATTTTCCCTTAAGATGATATTAGTATTGTGAAGAATCAAAAAGAGTATCTGTTTCAGAGTTATCATATGTTAAACAGGCTTTAAAACCCTAATGAGAAACTTCATCAGGACCAGGATGCTAATGATCCTGATGAAGAGTGCTGACGAAATAAGGAGTGTAGACTTTTAGTCAGATTCACTTTCCTTCAGACAAGTTTACACACTGCAAAAGACACTCATACTGCAAAAGACACTTCTCTGTTTGCTGCCTTATATCTTTCAAAATAAATTCTTGTAGGATTGCACAAAAGGAAAGAAGTTTATTTTTCTGTAACTGCCTTCAGAGCAGTCAGAACAGAAGAATAAAGAGCTAGTGGAAAATCTGTCAAGTGACACAAAAATTATTGTAAGATTAAGTAAAATCCAAATGAGATGAAGTCTTCTAATACCCGAAAATATTTAGAAAATTCTGCTGGTACTTTGATCAAACTAGTTTCTTGGTAACAGATGTAAAAATCCAAAAGGGTGTTATGTTCCTGGAAGTGTTTGTCTCTGTGTTAGTTCATTTTATTTTGTTCAGAAAAAAAACCCTGAAATTATGACTCAATGAATGGATTCTAATGACATTTTAAGACAAGAAAAATGACTCATCAGTACAATAGGATCAGACAAGAGAGGAGGCTTGAATGACTTGTTTGTCAATTCTTTTACGTATGGAAGTGCATAATGAGCATTTCCAGCAATACTACTCGAGCACCCATATTGAACTTAAAGTCTGTTAATATCAGAACTTAAAGGTCTGCTAGGACTGGATCCTCTCCTCTTCATCTGCCTGTGCTTGACCAGGTAGGTTTGCTCTCACTCCTCTTCTGTGATGTGGAGAGGCATGAAAGTGGTATATATATACAATGATGTTCTTCAGCATATTCATCTATTTGTATGAGCATACATACACAGAAACCACTGAAGTTTCAAGTGCTAGAACCACATTTACATTAAGACAAAGCAGTCTGATCCTGTTCAGGTAACACAGAAATTGAGATAGTTTTTCTTAGTGAAACAGATAGCACTCCTGTGGTCTTGAACCTGTGTTCAGAAAAAAGTTACCACCTACAGATGTTGAAATTCTTCAAGAAATAGAATTTTAATCTCTTTAAGTTGCTTAAGACTTTTTGCCTAATAGGCTAATTTCTCATAGTGTTCTTTGAAATACTTCAGATAAAATATTGTTTATTATAGAAGTCTATCTTTGGAGTTAAAAATCTTTGGAGAGTGTTCTTTGAAGTCCCTGCATTTTACGTCAATATCAGGGCTGAGGGCAAAAACTCAGGTACTGCTGACAAAATCTTGCACTCTATCAACCACATCATAAGAAAAAAAGCATCATTCTCAAAGGCAAAGCAATCACCATTATTACAACTGAAATGCAAACACAGTTTTCCAAAGAGACATACTAAATCATGTGGAAGACTGGAGTTGTGAAGTCAGTGGCAGGTTAGTTAGAGAAACTTGTGTCAAGCTGCAAAATCTTGTGTAGGGAGCCAGAGGATTTTGCTGACACATGCCAAATGTTAAAATGTGACTTTCATTGTCTTGTTACAACAGAACTTAAAGAAAGAAAAGGATGTGAGTTCTGCTGAGACAGACCTGGAGAAGTCCTTCAAGTGGGGAAGGAAAGGCAGAAGAAAATAACAGGAGACAGACCAAGTTAGAATTAAAAAAGTTGCAAACTGCAGCATTTTTTCTTTAACAATGCAGAAGGCTGTCTCAATCTGCACACTTTTTGCTTAGAATGAGTAGAAATAGTACCTGTTTAGAAACTAGCTACATGATCAGCTGTTCCCTGGACACCACTTGTCACATAAAATCATGCCTAGAAGTATATAGCTCCACCAGGAAATGGTAACCTTAAAATACAGTTAAGTATCCATCAATTAATATCATACGTGAAATCTCTCTTTGCATAACTAATGATATTGCCTACATTATTGCATTCTCCACAGAATGAAAAGGGAGCAGAAATAGGCACTGGAAAACAGCATTTAAAATGCAGGGAAAACAGCAAAGACAAGGAGGCTAAATTAAAATTGCATTAAAAAAAAAAAAGTTACCACTGCCTAAACACCTGAATTAAAATGTGGCTAAAAAAGTAAAACGACCCTTACACATGAAAGCTATTAAGAAGATACTATCAGTCAATATCTCCATTTTCAGACTCATTCACAAATAGCACACAGAGTAAAAAAACATATTCCAAGTACTTTGCTAGTGGATTAGAACAGCATTAATTCAGAAACAATAGTTTCAACCATGGATTCATCAAAACAGCCTAGAGGACAAAAAATACATATTAGCCTCTTTCAAGTGCTTCCCTGACCCTACTTAATCTTTTGAGGTCAAATGGTGCCACAGCCCAAGGTCACAAGGAAATAAGATCCAGTCATCTCTGCTTCTCTCCTGCTTTGATGGATCTTCTCCAACTGGCAAAAGGAATGAAATTCAAGACTTTAGCATGAACTTGACCTGACAAAGTTCAGCCCTACAGCAACATATTCTCCCTACTTCAGAAGCAGTATAATCTCACCTGTAGGGTTTAGATTTAAAATGTACCATTTATATTTGTACTTACAAGTAT